TTTGTAGGCTTGTGGCAGCCCCAGGAACGCATCCACCAACCCAGAGCTCCATCCACAGCAGACACACCGGGTTCCCCAAGCGCACACTGTTATCCCAGCAGGTTGAGCTGCTCAACACCCAGGAACGGCAGAAGCGACAGCTCTGCGAGGCAAGCCAAGAGGATGCCACTGCCATCAAGGGCACAGGCCCACAGGACCCAAACTGGGTCCCAGGGTGTTAGCCACAGCCAGCCATCACTAGACAAGGCAGGGCTGAGGCTGTCACATCAGCGAGAACCCGGTCAGGATCAAGACAGTAAGAGGCCAGGCACTAGACACGTGCCTAGTCTGTAGCTTAAACAAGGACCAACGGTAAGGAACTGAGCTCAAACTCAGCTCCAGAGGGAAGCAGGGGGTTAGAGCAAGGCAGCTGGGCAGGCTGTGGAGCTAAGGAAATGGCCACATGCGAACATGCCCATAGCCAGCCCACAGGCGGGAAAAGTCCCTGTGAGCACCTCAGGACTATCCATGGTCACTGGCCCTTCTCCACCGCAGCCCGCCAGGCGCTGTCCTAACAGCGTTACACAACACGCCTGGATCTCCCTCAGCACGAAGGAGTCTTACCCAGGAAGCATGCCTTGAACACGAAGCTTCCAGTGTTGCAGCATTTCAAGTCATCCTCCCCTCCCAATCCCTGGGACTGGTAGTTTATTTAATAGTTTGCTGCAGAACATCATAAATATTTTTACCAGCTAGCAAACTTTTAAATCCAATTGCTTTCTGCGTGAAATGAAACCCAGTGTGCATAATGCCCTTTCCTTCCCCTACAGTCATTTTTTATGTGTATATCAAATCACAGCAGTGCTAGCATGAAAGCGCGAAGCGTAGGCAAGCGCCGTTCCAGGCTGACCCTGATGAAGACCCACAGGGGTACTGAGCACTGTCCTCTGCCACTGCCTGCGAAAGGGCAGCACTTCATGTCTTACCGACACGCCTGAGAACTTGCAGAATTGAACTCTTACGAAGTATAATTTTTATAATTATTCATAAACATCGAGATCTGCCTGTGATTGCTGCTCTATTTCACTCTGCAGTGAGGTAAGGATGGCATACGAATGCGAACACTGGCGCGCTCATTTTTCCGACTCACTCATGCTGCATTTTCTCCAAAACTTCCAACTACAGCACAAGCGCTCATTGTACCAGTGAGTTTAGCACTGCCTAACGTCTACCCGCTGCGTGCCCTAACATGCTAAGGGAGAGCATCAGACCCACGCCATGAACCTGCTGCCTCCGAAGGCAGAAGAGGAATCCCAGCCCTGCCTGGAGGAAGAG